TGTGTTTGTACGTGTTTATGTACCTTTGATGTTTACATGCATATATATATATATATATATATATATATATATATATATATATATATATATATAAGTATATATAAGTATATATATAAGTATTCAAAAAGCGAAAAATGTTTAGTAGGTTGAAGATAAACCAGAATTCTCTGGCGATACGTACGTACGTATATATGTTTGTTTGCATGTATGTATGTTCGTTTGTATGTATGTGTGTACGTACGTGTGTGCGTGTGTACGTACGTGTGTATACCACACATTCAAGCACCCAGACATCGCCGGGGTCCGGCCATTTCATGCAGCAACACTCCACTGGGAACATAAAGACATCCTGATATCCGAGCCTGTGATAATGACGAGCACAAATAACCTTGTAAAAAAAAATTATACGCCGGTATTAAATTGTATGTGCGTGTACAAATTTTTGTATATTTTTGAGTAGTTTTTTGTGTACACGCGTGTATTATTTGTATGAATTGGGTATAGAGTTAGTGTATAGATATTTTGTATTCATTTTTGTATTTATTTGGTATTTTTTGCACCGAAAATTTATGTACTTAGCTAATGATGACCAAAAAGCATGGTAATGGGGATAATCACGCTTATTAAATACATGTGTGTGTGTGTATGTGCGTGTATGTGTATTTGTATGTGTATGTTTGTATGTGTGTTTGTATGTATGTTGTTAGAACTTTAGAGACAAGATAATGTAGGAATTTTTATATTTATTTATTCGCGGCAGGTAATTGTGCCTGTCAGTATGTTATGAGGAAGAAGTAGTAGTAGAAGTCTGTGTGCGTGTATGTGCGTGTGCGTGCGTGTGTGTTTGCATTTGTGTGTTTGTGTGTGTGTGTGTGTGATTGTGTGGTGGTGTGTTTTTCCCATTTTTCTCTGCAGCCATCGTAAAAATGGAATAAGAAAAAATTTGAGTCAGGATTGCTGCCAAAATGCATGCATCTAAACTAACGTTGACCCAAATGCTTATTGCTTAACA